ACACAATTACCGTATGATTGCCTTTTTTATGTATTTACATATTGAATTACATATTTACATATTGAATTTTGATTAGCCATTTCTTTCTTACATCTTTAAAATGATGCAAGAAAGAAACAGTGTTTCATGTGTTGGTTCTCATTCCCTGAGACAAAAAACAAGATGAACTAAGTGTCACGGCAGAGTTTATGGTGGCTCTGATGTGGCATGTCATTATGCACAACTACAGACTAAAACCTACTGTACAATAAGTTCATTTAAACTATAACACTATCCTTTTGCAACCTTGTAAGCACTAGTATTTCTTTCATTAAATCTAGTTCTTGCAGCAATTGGTCAACACAAAGTGCAACACTGTGAGTCAGGGTCAGCGATCACCATGGTGACTGGGATGTGATGTTGAGAGATTGAAGACTGGAGACCAGTTTGTGCCATTTGGCTGTTTCACCAGTAATAGATAACTGGGCTTTGTAGAAAAGGTCATTTCATAAACTAACCCGAAATATGCGCACTAAATATGTGTAGTCTCTTGTTAAAACTGTGTAAGCTGGAACATTTGTGAAGAAAGAACATTGTGTTTGGCAATTGTAACCCCAGCAATGGGAGTCAGGCCTCTCAACAAGTCATCCAGTGATGCCAGCACATAAAAATCTAGGTTTATCTTTATAACAATCAGCTACATTCATATCTAACATTTTTCATTGTTACTAGATGGTGGTTTATTTTCTCTCTCTCTTCATAAATTGTTGTAATTTGTCATTCTTGTACTTCAGGATAAGGCTAAATGTATTGACTAATTCAGATTAGATTTCACTAGTTGACTGTCAATCTTAGAAGGTAGAAACACCCTTTTTTTTAATCGCTGAGCTGAAAATACTTTTCAAAGCCTCGAGGGCAGTGACAGTTGAGTGAAGACACTTTGGCGTCCAGAAGATTTGTATCATGAGCATTTTAGATTCATTTCATTCTTTTGCTATCATTCTTCCGTTTACTTATTTTGAGTCTCAGTATGTATCTCCAGCTTTGTGTGTGTGTGTGTGTGTGTGTGTGTGTGTTTTGCTTAAGGGTGTCTGCAGAAGGAGAGATAAGACGCTAGTGTAGGACACTAGTAGATAGTGTTCACAGAATCCTGGTGATCTTATCTTCTCTCTACTTCCTTTTCTCTTGCTTTCCTTCATCCTTTCTTTTCTCTTGTGCTGTGATTTTCACAGCATGCATGTTTTACATCCATAGTGTTAGATTGAGAGAAAGTGGATTGTCCCCTCATTCATGATTATCTCGTGTTTTATCAAATTTATTATGAAATGTATTTTAGTGCAAATTCATCACTTGTTATGAAAGTTGCTTTTTTGTTGTTTTTGGAAAATAAATTAATACATGTGGCAGGTAAAAGTTTTACATTATCAAAGATTTCTATTTCAAATAAATGCTGTTCTTTTGAACTTTCTGTTCATCAAATAATGTATGGTTTACACCAAAATATTAAGCACAAAAAATAATTTTTAAAATATATTCAAATAGAAAACAGTTATTTTAAATTGTAATAATATTTCACTATACTATTATTATTTTTATTATTTTTTTTTTTTTTACTGTATATGTGATTTAAATGCAGCGTTGGTGAGCATAAGGACTACATTAAATACAGCTTAACTGGAACAAAGATAAATGGAGTGTATTTTCAGGCTTATGCATTTTATGGTAATACATTCAGAGTTTGCTTTTGTAAGATAAAATTTTGATTCTGTGTCTGGTTGCCATTTGAAGTCCAATTTAAAATCTGAATGTAGAAGCAAAACCAGCTAAGGACCACTTTGTTTCTCAAAGTCATAGTCACTTTTTTTGTTTGTTTGTAGTTTTTTTTATTTTTTTCAGAGTGCTTGGAGACGTGCCCTCATGTTCACATGAAACTACACCACTGACAAACCTCCAAGACTCAATTCTTTCCTCTGTTATTTTCACAAACCTCTAGATTTTGGTCCGAAACCCCTCCATTACCATCCGACCGTTGTATTTCATCTTTTCTGCTCCCTTTGTACTGTATTTTCTTTTCTCTTCTACATTCTCTCTCTCTGTCGTCTTTAAAGTGCTGTCGTGACCAGACAGAAAGAAACAATATTGCTTTTAGAGGACAAACAAATAGAGGCTCCACATTATCTTTCCGTTCATCCGGTATACTTGTGTGCATTCGCCTGTGTGTGTGTGTGTGTGTGTGTGTGTGCGCCAGCTCTTGTCAAGTGGGACAGGGAAGCATGCACAAGTGTCCCATGAGAGCTCTAGCCTGTTCTATAACATGACAGGCCCTCAGAGGAGTGCGCCAAGCTGTCACACTGAGCTCTCCCCTACGCTAATGAGTCAGAGTTAATTAAAAAACCCAGGCAGGACTGTGGGAGAGACACACATTGACGCACACACACATATGCAAGCATACATGCGCTCACCCAACCTGGCCAGGGTTAAACACACATAGTGGAAAGTGGGAAAGAATATTGCTGATTCATGCTCCAGCCTCCGGGGCCTCGTGTGTGTGTGTGGATGTCAGTGTGTGTGTCCCTTTTGTGTGTTTAGTGTCCCTGCGGCGCTGGGGCTTTTATGGGAAGGCAGAGAGGAAGCTACGCTTCTGCTGCCGCTCTCAGTCGTTTTCCTTAGTTTCCTTGATCCTGAGGTCATGCGTTTCTTTAGTATCCACCAAAATAGTTACTAAAGTAGCTACTACTGTCATCAAAAAATGTAGAAGCTGTGGTTAAAGGAATAATAAAATGTACTCAGCCTGGTGACATCTAAAATGTAGATGAGTTTGTTTCTTCATTTAAAGAGATTTGGAGAAATTTAGCGTTACATCACATGCTCTTCAGTGGATCCTCTGCAGTGAATGGGTGCTGTCAGAATGAGAGTCCAAACAGCTGATAAAAAAATCACATTAATCCACAAGTTACCCATATGACTCCTGTCCATTAGTTAATGTCTTGTGAAGTGAAAAGCTGCATGTTTGTAAGAAACAAATCCATCATTAAGGCGTTTAACTTTAAAATGTCGCTTCTGGCCAAAATAGGAGTCCTTAATCCGTAATAACACTTCATCCAGTGGAAAAAGTCCATCCTCTGGTGTCCTTTTACATCAAAATTCACCGATATATTTGATTAGAATATTTCAGCAAATTTTCATATTTCTGAGTGAATTATTACTTTAACATGGTTGTTTTTTGTAAGGGTTGGTTTACTTTCATCACCCAAATGTTTTCTTAGCCTATTCTTTTTATTTTTATTTATTGGTTTTAAAAAGAAAAGATTAGCATCTTAACGCAACAAGGGGTTGTTTAAAAATAAATTAATGTTTTAATTTTCCATTTTGGTTGGCAATCAGCTTTTTCATCTTATCGTTGTTTGTGACACTATTAGCATGCAGGCAGAAATGTCAGCGCCAGATTATCATGTTTACTCAGCATATTAATATATTAGCATTTTTTTAATATTAATGCAAGATTAGCATAAACTTTAGCAGCCATTAACATGCTTTTGCATATTCAAATTTGCTTACTTCGTGTACAAATGCGACGCTAATCGTTTCAGCTTTTGTTCAGTGGTTATTTCACTCAGTTCCTATCCCAGTGGGATTTTTGATTAAGTTGATGCTGAAAAGATTCACGGTTGTTTTTAGCAAACTACCTTAGCGGTTCCTTTTAGCCGGGTGAGATTAGCATCATATGAGACTGAGCTGTACATTAACACAAATACACATCGATGCACGTTAGGGCAGATGTTCTGTGGAGGGACAGGAAGATTGTCGTCTTGTCACATTGAACCTAAAGACAGAGGCATGAGCTGCAGCAGGCCATGAAAGCTGAGAAAAAGATCCTATCACATCAGGCATGCTTGAATGAACTTTCACACTATCTCATTCTTTCTTCTTTCTGATCTCTTCCATAACATTTAGTTGTTGTTGTTTTGGCTTATCCTTTTATCATGCAGCATATTTTATTCATTTATGCATTTCTGTACGATTTTCAGTTTGTGCAAAATCTTGGATACTGTTTTTTAAAGGTGCGCCATATCAGTATTGGTAAATCAGTATATTAGTACCAATTGTTGATTTATACATGAACGTGTTGTTGGGTCTCGGAAATTAAATATTTGGTGATCTGAAATGTATTGAACATTTTTGTTGTGAATTCTGCACATTTGTCACAAGATAATGTTATCTACCTGTCTAAAAGTTTGTTGAAATTTCACAAATGACTTGTTATTGTCCCGGAAGCATCATTCATGTGACTAATGTTTTACACCGCATTGCTTTCAAGCAAAATAATATTTATGAATATGATTTCATGCCGTTTTCCAGCTGTTATTGCAAATGTAAAAAATGTAATTTATTAATTTAGTAAATTGTTAAATCATATACGAATGTTACATTAAAATATTCAATATATATATATACTGTATATATAAATTTCAAGCTGTGATTTCAAACCAAGCAGTTTTTTGTACATTACATTTTTCATGCCTGATTGTACTTAAAATTCTGGAGAGTCTTAGTGTGAATGCTTTTTTTTTTTTTTTTTTGATCAGCATTTTTTTCATTGGCCAAAAATTCTTAAACAGTGCATCCTTATTGTCTGTCAAATGAATGAGGAAGCATACAAAAACATACTCTGTTAAATGTTGATACCAGCATGGCCTTGTAGTCAGAAAATTAAAAGAAGCAGCATATTTTCTTCCACAAACACACACACACTTGTATTTGTGCTCACTCTCCGTCTTTCTCTGGGGAGCGTGAGTGTGTATGGCTGTGGGCATGTGCTCTCAGAACCTCTTCATCTCTCTTCTGTCTTTTATGTCTCTGTGTCTACTGCACAAATGTAATAACATTGTTTTTCTTTCCTGGATTGGAGAAAACAAAATGAAGGTAGAGAGCCCAGCTCTGCTCAAACGGACACCTGATTGTGTCTCAACCTCTCTGACCTGTCTTTAATTCATCTCTGTCTCTGTTATTTCCTCTCTCAGGCTGTGCCTTCCTCACATACTGTGCAAGAGAATCGGCGCTAAAAGCTCAGACCGCGCTCCACGAGCAGAAGACGCTACCTGGGGTAGGTCATCACGGTCAAACTGGCACATAAACACACGCAAATAACAAAACACATGCACACCGGTACAAATGGGTAGTTGACATATAATACTATTGGGAAGTTTGCAATGTGACATGCTGAACTCTATATAAAAACCATTATAGCATTTTTTTTTTAATTATGCATGCAGTATTATGAGCTCATAATAATTCAGAGCCTACATGGAATATTTGTACTTAAAAAAAGTTAATATATTTATTTTATATATTATAATGTACACTATCTTTCAAATTTTGGGGGCATCAGTAATTTTTTAAATTTGCATTATTATTAATACATTTTGCAGAATACAAGTATTATTTATTAAGATTTCTAAAATAATAACAATAATAATAATGTGCCATGGTTTGCACAAAAATATTAAGCAGAACGTTTTCAACTTTTATAATGAAAAATAAAATGTTTCTTGAGCGCAAGATCAGCGTATTAGAATCATTTCTGAAGGATCAGGTAACGCTGATGACTGGAAAAATTGGATTTGTCATCATAGGAATAAATTACATTTTGAAAATATACTACAATATTAAATGTATTTTAAATAGCAATAATATTTCACAATATTACTGTTTTTACTGTATTTTTGTTCAAGTAAACAAAAAAAAAATCTTGCAGACCCCAAAGTTTTGGCACATAAGAATGGTTGTGTGTTTAAATATATATATATATATATATATGATGGTCCGAGGCCAATGGCCAAATTTGGCCAGGATGCCGGGGTATACTCTTTTTCGAAGGACATCCTGGGATTATTAATGACCACAGAGGAATGATTTCTTAAGGATCATGTGACACTGAAGACTGGAGTAATGGCTGATGGAAATTCAGCTTTGCATCACAGAAATAAATTATATTTTAAAGTATATTCAAATAGAAACCATTATTTTGTATTTAGACATATAAAAATAATAATAAACAGTGCATGGATGTATTATATGTCAACTACCCGAATTTACATACATTTTATGTGTTATTTTTTATGTGTTTTTTATTTTTTTATTTGTTTTGGCCAAAAAGTGCTAATTCTTCTTTTTTTGGCTCCGTTTTCAATCTCGTCCACTCGCTTCTCGTACTCTTTCTTCCTTTTCCTCTCCATCTCTCTCTCTCTCTCTTTCTCTCTGGAAGAGCCTTGTACCCAAGGGCAAGAACTACACAGCACCACATTAGAGCTGTCCTATTTATAGTGTCTTTTAGTGTCTCTGAGCATGTGTATGTGTGTGCGAGCATGCCGTATGAATGTCTGCAGGCGTGTGTGTGTACGTATTACTCCGTCACTCCTCTTTAGGTTAGTACAAACTTGCTGTCCCGCTCTAACATTATTTGGTTGCAGTGTGTGTGTGTGTGTGCGTGTTTTGAAGTTGCTCGGTTTGGTGTGTTCTGTTTTAATGACGCCTCCAGGGAGAATGACAGTTGCCGTGGCGAGCGGAATGCCTTTGATGCCAGTGATTATGACATCATAGATGTTGAATGCGGGGGAGTTTCTTTGCTGGAGTTCCACTTCCTTTCTTTTAGTGCAGAGAATATTCACTCTGTAAAACCGCTCACACAGCCATACACGTATTGCTCGATGAGCACATCTATTCGCAAGAAATGCAAACGCAGCAGCTGCAAATAAATTAAATCGAAGGCTCTGCCTATCACAAATGTTTCATAAGAATACTAATTACCCAGAGGAGCGTTTTATCGCTCGGGTTGCTCATTCAGAGCTCAGGAGATTTAATAGAGTTCTTGGTTGGGTTTCATTTTAGTCTTTGTCTCGGATGTTTCTCTTATAATTTCTTAAGAGAAATATATTTTAAAAAAATGGGGGAATAGAGCTGTAAAATGAATATGGATTGTATAGCTGAGATAATTTGGGTTTGGAAGAATTTGATGAGAAATGTTGGAGCACATATTAAGATCTTAGAATTTTCTTGGCAGATCTGAGCATTGTTTGAGACATTTGTTGAGACCTATTTTGAAACATTGGAGATTATGGGGGTATTTATTTATTTGTTTGTTTGTGGGAAGTACAATCTGTATAATTTAAGCACCAGAGGTATTATTATTATAGTGATTTTTTTTTATTTATTTTTTTTTTTATTTTACTTAAAGTTTGAATTTGATGAGAAATGTTGGAGCACATATTAAGATCTTAGAATTTTCTTGGCAGATCTGAGCATTGTTTGAGACATTTGTTGAGACCTATTTTGAAACATTGGAGATTATGGGGGTATTTATTTATTTGTTTGTTTGTGGGAAGTACAATCTGTATAATTTAAGCATCAGAGGTATTATTATTATAGTGATTTTTTTTTATTTAATTTTTAATTTTACTTAAAGTTTTAGTAATTTTGTTATATGTTTTTGTCATTTTTGTGAAAGTTTTTTGTTTTAATATGTCTGTATATTTAAATATATTATTTCAGGACTAGTTTTAGTTTACCTTAGAAAATGAGAAATGTTGAATTGACTGCTAGTTTATTGTATTTTTTATTTCAGTTTACATTTATTTTATTTCAAGTAGCAAAAATGTTTTTTTTTTTTAAGGTTTTAATTTTAGTTAACTATAATAACCCTATAACAATCTGAGATGCTTGATTGATATTTACAGTATAAGCAGAAATCTCCATTTGTTTTCCCAATTATCTAATTTTTCTCTAGGGGAAACAGCTGATTTTTAACTTTTCATATGTACAGTATGAGCCATCATGGCCACTTCAAAGATAAACTAATTTTTATTGTGAATAGTAAATGCTTAAGTAAACAAAGAAAGAAAGAGAGAGATAGACAGAGAGAGAAAGAAGTATAAATAAATCTGGAGATGAAGAAAAGTCATTGGATCGTTTTATGCGTTTTATCTGCAGGAGAATCTTGAGCCATCCCACCATTTCTTTTCCTTTCTTTCTCTTTGTCCCCCCTCTCGGCCTTTATGCAGTAATCTCTCTCATTTTTCCACTTCACTTGACAGCTTGATGGTTTTAAGGAAAGTGCTTTTTATGTTAGAAAGTTCTGTCAAGTGCAAGAAGCCTCCCAAGCTCCAGTCAGATAGAAAGAGTCAGAGAGAGTGGGCTGCTTGTGGACCTTCAAAATCACAGCTCAATAGCAGAGTCGCTCCAAATGAATGGTGAAAAACACATTTGTGCCTGTTAGCTTAAAGCCTGAATCTCTGTGATGCTTTCCTTTGTTTCGTTTGGGATCACCTCACTGACTAAAATCACATGAACAATTATATTGTGCTTATCGAGCATTTCTGCCATATTTGACATCACAATATTGCAGCTATAAAGTAATGCAGGACAGAATGTAGTGTTTATAAGTGTAATTTGGTTTAAGGTGTATTACCTACTGGTATGATAACTTAATTTCTTTGCTGGGTTATTACATATAGGTATATAATAATTTTTCACATTTTCCAGGCTATATTCTTATGCTTTTATAACTTCCAAAAAACATCTTAATTTAGCTTTATACGACCATTTTTCCATTTTCATATGACCACTTTTTCCCTTTCTGACCTTTACAATTAAACCAGCGGTTTTGGTACTGTACCTTTAAGACTTTTGCTTGTGAATTACCTGTCGTGACTGACTATCCCAGCATGTAGGTTTAGTTTCATTCATGAAGCTGCTGGTAACTAAATATCTGTTTGTAAGTAAACATAGGTGATCATATGTTAATGTGGTGATGATTGTCAAATTGTAATTATGACTATTTCTGAATAACATTTTTGCACGTGGTGCATCGAAACTGAAGCTTAAATATGAAGCAGTGTTAGTTTCGTTGATGAATAATTTTCGTCATAATTTTTGTCGACTACATTTTTTTCACCGACGACAACAAGACGATAACGAACTAAAACTCTTTTTGAATGACAAAAACTAGGACGTAAATCTATTGATATTTTCGTCAATGAATAAAAACGAGACGAAAATGTTAGGGAGGGATGATTTGGGAAGAGATTCATTCAGAACGAATTTGCTGCGTGGTTCTGAGGTTATGAACCAGCGAGACATAAGCTAACATACACTTGCTGCACGTCACATAAAACTTTCAAAAATGTCAAAAGACTATGAAAACTAAATCAAAATTTGCTGTCAAAATTAACTCTGGTATGAAGTACATAAAAAAGGAATTCCTTGTTAATGTTAGTTGTGAAATGTTAAAAGTGTTTCTGAAACATCTCTAATGCTCATCAAGGCAGCGTTTACTGATATCATATGATCAAAAATACAATAAAACAGTAATATTGTGAAATAATATTGCAATTTAAAATAACTCTTTTATATTTTAATATATTTAAAATGTAATTTATTTGGGGCATGGCAAAATTTTCAGCAGCCATTAAGCCATTACTCTTTCAGATATCATTTTAATATGCCGATTTAGTGTTCAAGAAACACTTTTTATTATTATTATCAAAGTTAAAAATGGTTGTACTGCTTGATGAATAGAATGTTTAAAAAAAGGCATTTACAGGCCAGGCTCTCATGCACACTGCATTTATTAAAATCTCTTCTGGCCTCTCTCGTACTACTGTATGATGCCTCAGAAGCACTCTATTGATTCTGGCACTGGGCCTCATCAGCGGGAGGGTGTGTGTACACACCCACGGCTGCTCTCTCGCTCACGTTTAAATACACACGCACGCACGAGTACAAACGGAGCAGCTATTACTCACTGCAACGCACACAAATGCAAAATGTTCACAAATACGCATTCATGTGGATGCATATTCATGTAGAAATATTTCCCGGAGACTCAGACGGTAATGCTCGTTGTGGCATAGCCATACACAGATACACACCATGGCTATGTTCAAAATGGAATACGATTATTTTAGAAATCTGTATGTATGTATGCATGTATGTATTTATGTATTTATTCATTTATTTAATAGGTTAAACTGGTTAAACAAGCTACATTTTATTTTGTGTGTGCGTGTCATTTTTTATTGCTAGAATTATTGAAATTACAGTTAAAAA